CCGCGTCAAATAAAAAAAAAGCGTGTGTTCCAGAGTATGCTCTACATCTATACCGAATTTCATCAAGATCCGTTCAGTAGTATAAAGTAAAAAATAACAAAAATCCATCCATCTAAACTTACGCATTTATAATGTGACTTTAAAATACTAGTTATTGCACGATTTTATCTACACAGAACGTAAAAAATCTCAGTAATTAACCTATTTATTCTATCTGTGCCACATTTTATCGACGTCCATTTTGAAGTTACGTAGTCAAAAACAACCATCCATGCAGACTTTAGTATTTACTATATATATTTAAGTATTGTTAAATGTGTTTGGACAAAGTGAACCTGAAACAACATTCAATACATACATTATCATTTTTCTTAGCTTGTATAGAATGGCAGGCGTGGTGCGGCCCGCCGGCGCCGCGCTGCAGCCACACCAGCTCGGCCGCGCCGCGCCGCGGAGACCGCACGCTCAGGCCCTCCGATGTCACCTTATCTTTAACAGTGGTAGAGCCCGCTTTAACATCTTCGCACTGCAGGGCCGGCTCGCCCCCACCAATACCACGAGCACACAGAAGACAGACGTGAAGTGGGAGCAATTCCGCGTACAGTCTGATGAGTGTGGCGCCGGAGGCCTCATTTTATTCCCTTTCCCTTTCTCTTTCCATCCTTTTCTTAAGAAGAAGGAATGGTAAGGAAAAGTGGATTTGATAATGGAGAAGACGCGCAGAAAGGGAAAATGTCCTCTTTATGTGCGTCACTTCTTGCGTCAATGAAGGATAAGCAACGCATCTGCAATTGCGAATATTTATGGGCAGCGGTCGCTTTCCATTTCGGTGGATTCAGGTGGCCGCTTGCTCGTTTGCCACATTATGTTATAAAAAAAAATCTGACAAACACCAGCATACAACACTGATGATTCGGGAATGGAATTTTAGGAAGAAAAAAAATATCGAGTTATCATCCTGTATACATTATCTCGTTGCAATCTATCGTCAAATATCATACTTGACCGTTAAGACCATAGTCGGTTTAGTGTTTTAAGTTTTACAATTTCATTAAAAAAACTTTCATTTAAATTTTGTAAACAATCTGAAATGTACGACTGAAGTCACATTAACCATAAAAATAAAGATTATTACTAAATAAAAATCCCATTGAATTTTTTTATGATCATGTCACGATTGTAAAATAATAAAACAAAGAAAATATGTAATTTTAAACGTGGAAATACAAGAAATGGAATTAAAATAATTGTCTTACTCAATTTTCCATCAAAAGACAGTTCGAAGATGTATGAAGGTCTGTTAGTGCAGAATATGAGGCCGAGCCGGCGCGGCTCCGTCAGCCACGCCACGCCCAGCACGCCGCGCCCGTCCGCCGCAAAGCGGACCTGACGCAACACACTGTAACTTACCACACAGCCAGGCATAGAATGTGTTTAAAACATTTTCAAAATGTTAAAATATCTGTATTAAATTTCAGACATCAAATACACTTATTTCTTTCTAGTGCAATAAGAGCGCCGGACATAAAGGGTTACCAAGACGACATACGATAAAGTGGGTTGCCAACGGCGACATACGACAAAAAGGGTTGCCAAATGCTACATAAGACAAAGTGGCTCTGGCACTACAAGCGACATAAAAAGGTGACTTATGCATACTTAGAATTGGTTTGTAATACTGTTAAGGAACACCGTACCTTAGAGAGCACAGGCAATGTTACCGGCCCTACATATATTTGTAAACTATAGTAGTCTTTTTTTGTAATATATGTATGATTGTAATATATGTAATGAAGTTATATTACCTGTCCGGGACACCATGTTTCAGGCAAGCCCTCCAATACTGTGACAGTCTCCGTAGCCAGCTTGCACACAACTATTACTGAGAAGAATTTTCCCACCAGCTGTTCACCCCAATCTTGTCTGTATATGAACTCTTCACCCTGCAACATACTAATTATGTGCAAAAAGATTTTTTAACATAATTAAAACTTTTTTTTTTACCATTACAGAATCAGCAACCCTAATTATGGCCTTAATTTTGACAACCCTAAAACTAAATTAAAAATCTTCTGTCAGTTTACTAATACAATGTTCTTACTCTCTTCGGTGGAGATTCCCCACTGCCATCATTTTTAGCTTTATCCTCTGATTTCCTTTTTATATAGGGTTCCGATTTCTTTACTTTCTTCTCAGCGACATACACCACTGCGCTTTCGTCCTGCGACCACTCTAAACCACCAAACTCCGCTGAAAAACATTTCACACTTATAAAATACTACTGAAATATAAGAAAAATTATGTTTCATTGTATTGGCTTTTAATCTTATTGTATTGGATTGAAAAAAAAACAACCCAGCCTATATGTTCTTCAAGACTGTGTTTTAACACATATATTTTTATATCATAAGGTGGCAAATGAGCAAGCGGCCACCTGAATCCGCCGAAATGGCGAAGTGACTACTACCCATAGACATTCGCCATAGCGGATGCTTTGCCTACCCTTGAACGACGGAAGAGGAGACAAACATAAACAGGATGTTTCCACATAAACGGGATATTTTCCCTTCCTACGTGTTTCCACCACCATCAAATCCATTCCCATCGTTTTCTTATAAGAAAATGGGTGGTAAAAAACATATCAGTAAGATTATTTTAATATGAAATTCTTAACTAATATATCAACATAAAAAAGACATGGTTAATCATGTCAAAGTGTTAATAAACATACAATCAGCGTATACATCTCCGTGTAAATCCAGAGCAGTGAGATCAATGCAGTGTTCCAGGTTATGCTTGCACCACACCTCCAAGTACTGCTTCTTGTCCTTGCCTTCCTTCTCCTCACGGATCACCGCTTTAAACATACCCTTCGGTGATACTGATGATAGTAATCTTTAACAAATAAATAAATTACATAATCTATATCTATACTAATATTATAAAGAGGAAAGATCTGTATTTATGTATTTTTGTACGTATTGTAATAACTCAAAAACTGCTTAACCAATTTTAAAAAATTCTTACATCATTAGAAAGGAAATTTATCTGTGAGTAACGTAGGCTATATTTTTATTTAGTTTTATAATATCACGGAGATGAAGTCGGGAGCTATATTGTACAAAAACCCAGTTCTTGCAATTTGTCACTAACAAAATAATCTTTATGAGAGGGTAATTAACATTTTTGTTGTATAAAACAAAATAATTATAGTCTGTTAAACTTACTCATTACTCACATCCACTCCAAATTCACTTTCCGCGATAACTTTAAGATTATCATTTAAAATATAATCCGTCAAATATTTTGTCGTCTTCCCTTTGTCCAAATTCCGAACAGACCATTTGCATGAAATCCTGTTTCCGTCATTGTTAAGTTTAGCACCAACTATGGAAGGAATCTTCGATAGTGTCTTGTATGCATTTACAATTGTATCTATCTGTAAAAAAATTAAAATAAAAAGGATACATTACTTAATAAAGCATCAAAAGCAATATTACATCATTCTAGTGAAAACACATAATTTTTATGTCTTACAATTAACAATATAAATAAACCAAAAACAAAACTCACTTGTGTTGACATTCTTAACATTTGTTTTCAATATTATCTTTTCCTGTACTCGGGAATCTGTAAAAACAGTCTATTTAAATTGATGCAATAAATTAGGAAACCACAGGAACTGTAAAATGGTTTGTGAAATTATTATTTATATTACATTTTCTATCTTCATTGGTGTTATCAGTTCATTGTTTTACCACAAACATATGAAGTGCAAACAACATTCTTATCAAATGATAATGTAGAAAATGAAACAAATTTTTCAGCGTACTACCTTACAATGAAAATTGGAAATATTATCGTAAAAAAATAATTGAGCCCTTCAATGTATGCTTTGCAATTTATTTGCATTGTTTGGTAATTTCACTGGTAACTTAAATTAAAAATAGAGTTGACTCAGCAAATAAATACTTTACAAAATCATATGTCATAACAATATTACTATTTTGTAAACAAAATACTTTTGGTAACGTTTTGTGCCTACCTTTTAATATTATATTAATTAATACTAACTTCCAAACTTACAATTTTAATTTAAGTTAAAGTTGTATGAAGTTATTCACAAATACAAATATCAACAAAGAGCAGTGCGCATATAAGACGGCGGGATATTGTACAACCAGATAATCTGTGTACAAAAGATCCGAGTATAGTGCGACAAGGATTTTGTGCCATCTTTTTGACAGTGACTTGACAGTGACAGGAGGGCGCTTGCGAGCATTTTGGGTTACCAGCAAGGTAATGTTTCCACATTTAAGGGGTTTTTATCCTTTCGATTACAAAAACGTAAATTGTAAAGGAAATAAAATACCTTACAATGGAGCTAGGAAATGCTCCTAAAAAAACGCCATAGCTAAAGAACTTTAGTAGCAAACTTTTAGCAATGTCCACTCTTTAAGAATAGCCTTAACATAATAGAAATTGTCTTTCTTATGTAACATAAAAAGATATGCCCAGTGGTTCGAACAGTGCCTTATAAAATCATCAGACAGTCAGTTTCTTGTTATATTTCTAAATACACACAGTAATTTCCTTTTTACGTAAGTAAATATGTATTATAAACTAAAATCCTAAAATGAAGTCGATACTTCCAGTTGCACAAAACACGTTACAATTAAGAGTTCAGTTACTACAATTTGAAATAAATAGGCATAAAAAAACTATCAGCAAAATATTTACAAGTCAATTACTATAGAATTATTATTTGAAATTTCCACGGGAATTTCTCGATTTAACAAAATAACTATGTACCCCTATACAAAAAGTTCCTGGCATGGTGATGGGACTAGAGTAATTTTTTTTCCCTCGAGTCACTTGGTACTGATAACTTTCACACTCGAATACCACTCGAGTAAAGATAAGACTTGAGTGATTTTTATTTACTCGAGTCACTAGGAATATAAAACTCGAAAAACCAAAATTTTGAAACGAATAAAAAAATATTAATTGAACACAAAATATTCATTTTCGCGTAAATTTAAAAGCTACTCAAAAAAATCTAAATGAAATGTAAAAAAAAATTACGTGTAAACTAAAACTGTCTTCATAATCAAGAAACCTCGTATATCCACTATCAGTTAAATTGAAATATTATAATGTTCTACTAATAAGTTCTAATCAAATTTGATTTATTGTACCATTCGATTGGTTACGAGTCTCTCGTAATCGAGTCAACTCGAGCCACTCGAAACTCGAGTTGTCAAAAATTTCACTCGAGTCCGAGTAGTATAAAAATTGCTCGAGTCCCAACACACTATGGACAACGTTTCGTTGCCCCAAATAAATTGCGACAATTGTGAAGATAAAGTCTTGTATTTTCAATTAGAATAAATAAATAATTTTGAATAAAATCCAAACATTAACAATTATAACTTAATTTCACAATAATTAATAGCATTTCTTTAACAATGACATATCTAGATTCATATTCAAATAATGTAGTTCACTTAGTTTTACTTACAATAAATTTAATTTACATGTATTACAAAAGTCCTACAATTTTACAGACCAAATTCCTTTGTAAGAGGCTCTCCAACATACAGCATTTTAAAACCATTCATGACCGGATGTACAGTTGGAATTGGAGGACATGTTGATTTGTCATGACTGAGACGACTCTGTCAATTCGTCAAAAACTGTTTTGTTTAGACAGAAATTGTACAAAATTACATAGTAAATCGGGTGATATCGTGTTGTGATAAGTGATTATAATATAATGTGTGATACGTTTTTACGCTGACGAATTGAATAAAGAAAAAGTAAATTTAAGTAGCAATAGCCGATCAGCAACTCTTTGGTAAGTTTACGATGTTGCATCAATTTGTCCTCGTCATTATCTTTTTATTCATCTAATCGGCCACGACACAATTTTGAGAACAGTGTTTTTGTCAAGGCTTCTATTATCCAGTTAAAATCTTGCCTTTGGATTTTAAAATTCGTGTTTGTTTATGAACTTTAAACTTTTGGTTTCAGTTTCAAGTTTGAGTATTAAAGTGGTGTTATCTTTGTTAGTCTGCTTGTTTGTTTGTTTGTTATTTCGTGACGTCAATAAAAGTAGAAAAGTCTTTGTGCTAATGTGTATGATAATGATAAATGTTATCTGCATTTGTGATATCAAACTGATAGTTACTTGAGTGGAGCCTCTTATTTAAGTGTCAAAAGTTTATTATTCACCTACTGTTTATTTCTCAACAGAAATAGAATATTTTGTAAGTGTTTTATATACTTTTTTAAATATTGTAAATGTATTCTGGGAAAATTTTCAAAACATCATAGGCAATGGAGAAAAATGTTTTAAGTGTTTATAATTTAAAAAAAACTCATTGTACAATTAAATCAAATTTCTAAGTTCATCAAAAGATTTTAAATACACTCTCAACAATATCAATGTTTTGGGGTTCCTTGTAACAAGTGTCTCTTCATCCATACACACCTTGCATTTATAATTTATATTAACAAAGTGATATAGCTCATTTATGTTTGAATGATATCTAGAATTCATTTAAAACTAGTAACTGGCAGCATATCTACTGATCCTATATATATGGATATCTACAGTGTGGTAATTAGGGTGTTCCGCTGCCCTCTTCTCCTGTAAAACACCTTAGTTCATAGAAGAGACATAGTATCTGTGACAAGGCTAGTGCACATTTTTTATGTTAGCTTTAATCATACTAATATTATAAATGCGAAAGATTAGATGGATTAATGGATGTTTGATAGAGTTTGTAGCCTAAACCACTGAATGGATTTTGATGAATTTTGGTTTAGATATAGAGAATAGAGTGGAAGAACACATATGCTACTTACTTTTGTTTTTTTAATTCCATGTGAACGAAATCGCGGGCAAAAGCTTGTAAAACTGTAATTAACTTGCAATTCAAAAACACTCAAAGTCTAAGGTACCACTATATTATATTTGTCTTGAACTTAAGTAATTGTGCGGCTTAAGTTTTATTCATTTAAGCAGCTTATGTCTACAATAAGCTAATTAAAAGTTACATGTTTTTTCGTACAGTATTATTAGTGACAGTATGAGAATGTGATGTGAAAGAAAAGCAAGAGTATTTTATATGTCTTGAGTTAATTGTCAAAATGGTAGGCAGTTTTAACATTGGTAAATAATATTATGTGAAATGTTTAGTTTAGTTTTTATTACATCAGTATGTAAAACCCAGACTAACCAATATCTGAAGTAATTGCGGTTTTGTATGTCCGACTTTTATCTATGTGTTTTTTTAATAATTTTTCTTTTATTGTTTGGAATATGGAATTCATACAACTTATTCCATACATTTAATTGTTTAAATACTTTATGATAACTTGTCATCCCTTCCATTCTGAAGTTAACTGAGAAAAAAATGTTTCAATTTAATATAATTCATTCTTTAGTAAGAATTGTGTGTAGTTGTGTTTATAAGTTTTTGAGCCTTTGCTAATTTTTTCTTTGAATATATCAATTTAGTTGCATTTTTTAGCTGATCCATTAAATTAGTCTGCTTTTAATCGCAATAACCTTACAATTGTTAGTTAATGTCTACCATTCCTCAGGCCTTGACTACCACACTAATTATCGATTTTTAGTCGCACAGTATTTATAGTAACAGTGACTTAACAACAAAGTAACCATTAAGTTATGGATGACAGTAGTTTTTTTTTTTTTTGTAATAAAAATGTAAAATGGCCGCTTCAATTTGCCAAAATAGTAAAGAGACTTGCCTGCAGTCATCTAAATTTGCATGCATTGTTGAGAGTACCTGAAAAGGTAGCGATGGACAAAAAGACAATATTTCGCATTTCTATGTGTTTCCATCTCTATCTAGTATTCCTTTTTATCCCTTCCTTGCAAGATAATGGTGGAATGAGCAAGAAGACAAGTTCTACACACATTTAATAGACGAAACGCAGAATGATTCCACTTTGAGCAACAGAATCTTCATGCTTTCTGAGAAGTTGTACGTTTGTTTTGTTTTACGTGTCAGGTGGGCGCGAGCTCAATTTTCACATTCCATTGACCAATGTCCGCGTATTGCGTTCTCATTTCCGCTACCTCTTATCAGTGAGTCAGAGTCATGTGGATATCATATTGTAAGCTTGTGTTCGATTAGAATATTTTTCGTGTTTACAAATCTGCTCTACTGATAGACGAGGGGATTGTGCGAGTTGTGTTTGTTGAATTATGCGTTATTATAAATATTAACAGTTTACCTTGGTAATGCTTGTAATATCAAACATTTGTCATACGAGTAAAAAGAATAAGGGCCTGTTCCACCAAGTAATAGTTATGTCACTGTCATAAAAGGGAACAAAATCCAACATTTCCGTCACATAATTTACACGATGGATTGTTATCAGACAATTTACAATTTGGTGGGACAGGCCCTAAGTATGTTAACATCTATCTACCTATAGGTGTTCGAATTTAATGTAATACACACGACTGCGTACTTCGATGCGAACACGGTTAGATGACAAGAGTATAGTCGGGGACTTTTATTTCCTATCCAGTTCGGGGAATTTGACAAACACAATACAATTCGCTTGATAACGTCTGTAATAAATTATAGCTCTTGGTGATAGCTCATGGTAATATGGTTCGATTCTAAGTGGGAAGCGAATATAATTCTTCAACTGTTTGACTGCTAGTGAGGGAGTTAGGTGTCTGTGGCCGGGGCGGACGTGCTCCAATAGAGGAGTTCAACGATCTCATCACGGTCGGAGCGACGAACGCGTAACCGACGCGACACTGATGACGGATTAGCAAAATCCTCATAAAACACGTGCAAACACAATAACGTGCAAATCACTTGAACGAGATATCTGACTCTATTTTAGAGTTTTTCTGAAGAATTCAGTGATTCAGTCAGTCCAGTCCAGATGCTGTGAACGGTTGTCAATTTTAACTGTTCTCGGAAAGTTGTGTGTTCAATAGAAACTTGTCAATTCAATTCAAAACTATGCTCATCTGCATACATCAGGTAATAAACGCCTCTCAATTATTTGGTGCAGTGTTTGTGATACTTTACTTAGTGGTAGCGGGTTCAACGCACGTTTCGCTCTCCGGTTCGATTCCGCACACCTATTATGTTAGCAGTAACAGTACAAGGCTCCACCTCCGCTGCTCTGCGTGCACGTAAAGCACAGAACACGATTCTCCAAGCAATGCCACAGACCAATTACAGATAGAGCTTTTGGCAATATTTTTACTTACCTAGCTACAGGATACTATGTTTAATTATATTTGATCTGTTCTCACCTTCTTAACATCAGTTACGTATCAAAGTAATTAATACAATTATCAACTACTTTGTCGTAAGTCAACCCGCATTGATAAGGTCTCCCACCACTTCTAATCCACCGCTAAAAGTTGATTACATAAGCGTATATAAACACTTCGTTATATAGTCCTTAGTATGTCAGCGATCCGTCTATAAGGTGTTAGGTCTGCATTCATATTTGGGATAATGATTTTTTACTAATATCTAAGATAAATAGAAGTAAATCTAAAAATACACTTATGTAAACAAATGCTAGGCTAACCTTACGTCACGTTAGAGTGGATTACGTCACTGCAAATCGGAATATCCGCACGGTAAAGCGATTAACAAACCAAAGAAGTGCACACAAGCGAGGTTTTTTTGTTTTATTTACTCGTATGTGTACGTTACGTAACTGTAGATATATTATTTTATATTATTAACTTAATGAGAATAGGGTTAGAGAGAGGTATTGTTGAGTCACGGCCAAATAATCATATTTATTACTTACTTAGAAAGATTGTGAAAATGCATATAAGAGTATGCTTCTTACCAATATAAATGTAAAAGTTTGGGTGCATGTTATTAGCTATCTCCAGAATAGCGAAACGGTTCTTAATGTTTGGTATATTTAGAACAATTTGAAAAACAAAAATCTAGGCATAAGGTAGTAATTAAAGAAGTTTCGTTGAAGTAATGTAAATTTAATAGCTATTTCATGTACAGCAGTAATGACGTCACTCAAGTTATGCGTCACACCAAATTATTAGAAAAACATCGGGGAAATCCACAATTCTAGTGACGTGTATCAGAAGCTTACAGCGTTTACAGTTTAAAAAATATAACTGCACTAGTTTAATGTTTTCGATAACTGCTTTCAGATTAAATAATACCTTTGAATCACATATTTTGATACATTTCCATAGTTATAGATGTTATGCTATTAATAACCATCAAAAGAAAATATAAATACGATGTAAACAATAATTATAGTACATTTACTCGATTCTGATGCATTTTTTTTTAAATAAACTGTTTTATAAAAAAAAAACTTAAGCCAAGCTTCGTTTGCCAGCTTTCAGTAGTAATTTAGGTGTAACCCAGGAAATAAACTGCAACAAGTAATATTTTGAACGGCATTTACCAGAGAAAAGTTTGAGAAACTATTAAAGTTAAACGCTCTTGACTGCGTGCGTAGTGCGTGCTTGTTGCGTAGCGTCGCCGTCTGCCGACCGTTGTTGTGCCGCTTCCTCCCACTTTGTTACTCAAACAGCCCCCTGTTAGGCTCTGAACACACTAACACTTTTATATTATTCCTAGGAATAGATGTATCAGAATAAATTCGTCGAATTGCTATCTAGTTTTCGTATAATTACCGCTATCTTAGACGCGTACAGTATTAAAGTGCGATATAAATAAAGATAGGGCAATCATGAATGAGACGGTTTTACTAAAACTAGCTATTTTTTTAATATTTCTGACGTCAGATGAAAGATCATATGTAAAATGCATCCAGCTGTGTGGAATCGCCTTAACCTTATGCAGTTGGTCAGTGTTCAGTGGTGAGTGCGTGTGATGGCGGTGCCACACGAGCGACGCGATGTCGTACGTCGCACGTCTTATGGTGACACAGTGATATCTTATCGTGTCGCGGTGCGCCCGCTGTGAAAGTGAACAGATTGTAAACACTAAACATTTGTTGAATGCAAAATAACGTGGACGTGCTGTGTGTGGACATTTATTTTGCACTAGTTTGTAGTTTGGTTAATAAGTTGAACCGAGTACTAAATAGTTTGTTAGTATCATTTATAGGTTAATTTGTTGGTTTTTGTTGTTGTTTAACCAAAGTATTAGCGTGATCAAGGTCGTGGTCGTGATATCTAGTGATTGATTATAATTTTCAATTACGTTGAATTTTTCATTTACTAGGAATTGATGGTGGTAAATGTTGTGAAATATTACTGATATTTGATAATGGAAAATGTTATTTTCTATAAGTAACAAATCGAGATTTTAAACATAATGGCATATATACTAAGCGTAAATATTATTAATTAGGGTGTAATATTACGTTATTATTAATTTTTACCTCGGATGATTTTAAATAGAATGTTAGACAGAGAAATGAACGATTTAAAAACTGTTATCGGTCAAGTACGGTCTTGTCGTTTGTTGTTTTCAATTTGCCACCAATTCATGTATGTGTATTATCCTTTGTATGTATAATAAATTATTCAATGTAATTGTAATTTAAAAAGATCGACATTAACCTTGTACAAAAGCTTTTAACCAAAGCTTTAATTAGTAGTTTAGAGTTTATAATAACAATCCAATTTTATCGTGGCAGGATTTGATAATAAAACAAAAGCCTGTTTTGTTGATTTATCTTGTTAATACAATACCATTGAAGTGACAGGAATGTCCATAACATAACTATGAGAGCTCCCCCGTGTTTTTTCTATTATGCTATAATTGATAATATACATGATTATTGTGTCATTTAATAAACTAAAAATAAATTGACATGCGATTAACATTACGAAAAGCCGTTGTGAACGAAATATTAGCTAGTTTAAGAATATATCCTATACTGTCAGTCCTACCAAATTGTAAATTGCCTGATAACAATCGAAAGTGTAAAATATGTGATTGAAATGTCGGATTTAGTTCCCTTATCCAATAGTGACGTCATTTTAAGCTATCTGAGCCTCCATCAGCCAGTGGTGGGACAGGCCCTTAGTATCTAGTTATGGCCTTTATGTATGTTTACTAGGGGGAGCCTTTCTCCCCCATTTTCACTCTCCCATCTGTTAATTGGATCGTACGCGGTGCGCGAGGGTCACGCGGAACACTTATACAACTTCCTTTATGTAAACAACGTAATCTTATAAAGCTATTTTGGATGACATTGCTAGTACATAGGTCCTTATGTATTGTGTTATTTGATGCATGAATTTGGAGAACGTAAACAAAATAATACAATGTTCTGCGTAAAAAAACGCTACATAAAAATCGCACGTAAATTCTCCATACAATTTACTACCAAATGTTTTAACTATATCAAATAAATCTGAACAGTGGCTTACATTTTTAAATACTCGATTATCATGACTTAGAAATGAAATTGTCGATAGAAAATTTTCAGCTCTCGTAAAACACTAGTGGAACTTCTTTGTCATTACAGTTGTGGTAATATCAAAGATGGTGT